AGCAGTGGTGGCAAGACCAGTGGTGGCAAGACCAGTGGTGGCAAGAGTAGTAGTGGCAAGACCAGTGGTGGCAAGAGCAGCGGTGGCAAGACCAGTGGTGGCAAGAGCAGCGGTGGCAAGAGCAGTGGTGGCAAGACCAGTGGTGGCAAGAGCAGCGGTGGCAAGAGCAGTGGTGGCAAGAGCAGCGGTGGCAAGACCAGCGGTGGCAAGAGCAGTGGTGGCAAGAGCAGTGGTGGCAAGAGCAGTGGTGGCAAGACCAGCGGTGGCAAGAGCAACAGTGGCAAGACCAGCGGTGACAAGAGCAGCGGTGTCAAGAGCAGCGGTGGCAAGACCAGTGGTAGCTAGAGCAGTGGTGGCAAGAGTAGTAGATGCAAGACCAGTGATGGCAAGACCAGTGGTGGCAAGCCCAGTTGTGGCAAGACCAGTGGTGGCACAACCAGTGGTGGCAAGACCAGTGATGGCAAGACCAGTGGTGGCAAGCCCAGTTGTGGCAAGACCAATGGTGGCACAACCAGTGGTGGCAAGAGTAGTAGTGGCAAGACCAGTGGTGGCACAACCAGTGGTGGCAAGACCAGTGGTGGCAAGACCAGTGGTGGCACAACCAGTGGTGGCAAGACCAGTGGTGGCACAACCAGTGGTGGCAAGACCAGTGGTGGCAAGACCAGTGGTGGCAAGAGCAACAGTGGCAAGAGCAACAGTGGCAAGAGCAACAGTGGTGGCAAGAGCAACAGTGGTGGCAAGAGCAACAGTGGCAAGAGCAACAGTGGCAAGAGCAACAGTGGCAAGACCAACAGTGGCAAGACCAGCAGTGGCAAGACCAGCAGTGGCAAGAGCAACAGTGGCAAGAGCAACAGTGGCAAGAGCAACAGTGGCAAGAGCAGCAGTGGCAAGAGCAACAGTGGCAAGAGCAACAGTGGCAAGAGCAACAGTGGCAAGAGCAACAGTGGCAAGAGCAACAGTGGCAAGAGCAACAGTGGCAAGAGCAACAGTGGCAAGACAGTGGCAAGAGCAGCAGTGGCAAGAGCAACAGTGGCAAGAGAAACAGTGGCAAGAGCAACAGTGGCAAGACCAGCAGTGGCAAGACCAGCAGTGGCAAGACCAGCAGTGGCAAGAGCAACAGTGGCAAGAGCAACAGTGGCAAGAGCAACAGTGGCAAGACAGTGGCAAGAGCAACAGTGGCAAGAGCAACAGTGGCAAGAGCAGCAGTGGCAAGAGCAACAGTGGCAAGAGAAACAGTGGCAAGAGCAACAGTGGCAAGACCAGCAGTGGCAAGACCAGCAGTGGCAAGACCAGCAATGGCAAGAGCAACAGTGGCAAGAGCAACAGTGGCAAGAGCAGCAGTGGCAAGAGCAACAGTGGCAAGAGCAACAGTGGCAAGAGCAACAGTGGCAAGAGTAACAGTGGCAAGAGTAACAGTGGCAAGAGCAACAGTGGCAAGAGCAACAGTGGCAAGAGCAACAGTGGCAAGAGCAGCAGTGGCAAGAGCAACAGTGGCAAGAGCAACAGTAGCAAGATTATAGTAAAAGCAAGTTAAATCACAATTATTGGTACTGAGGGACTTCAACTTGAAAGCAATAGACTGGGAGGCCTACGAAGCAAGAATGGAGTCCTCTGGCTGAACTATGAATTCCGATCCCAACCTAAATAAAAGTTACTCTTGTATAGAAAAATCTATTCTATCCATTGGTGTCATTCAAAACCAAATTGGGAATGACGTATATTGAGATGTTTTGCCTTGAAAGTTGGCTAAGTTTTGCACAAAAATTTGTTTTGGCCAACTTTCAAGTGGGCCACCTCTGGACATATAAATACAACAGAGTTGCTATTGCATCACTGCATAATATTGTGCTTGTTATACATTGTTGCAAAAGATCATGGTATTTAGATCTTTTGCTGAGGAGTAAGTGGTCTCCAAATTGGGGTCCAAATCTCTTGCGACAAAATTTGGCAGTGATTTTAGCATGGATGGATAACTGAATGGCCACCATGCTGCTTTTTCGATTACACTACATTATTCTACACCAAAAGTTGTCCTGGTATGTCAAATTTCACACTCCTACAGGCAATAGAAGTTATTTAACAAAGGGTCAAATTTGGTCATTTTTGTGGAATTTACACATTAATGGGACGAGAGCCCATTGAATATGGACCTGTTGTTCAAGAACCAAAGCAGATTGAGCTCTAATATCTAATAAGAGCTCTAATAATATTGAGCTCAGTGACATTTGGGCTATCTTACTACAAAATTTCATGGCATTTGAAGAGGGTCGAATGGGAGCCATAGGTGATTTTTTGGTGATTTGAGATGGAATGACCCTACAGGAAAGAGGTGGTTGGGTAGACTGTGTCTATCTGGACCTAAAAAAGACTTTTGACAGAGTCCAACACAAGAAGCTGTTCTGGAAACTGAAACATGCTGGAGGGGCGACAAGGAGATTTCTGGCACAGATGAAAAATTTTCTAACTGACAGACAGATGATAGCAGTAATGACAGACAATGCATCTAACTTGAGGACTGTTACTAACGGAGTATCACATGGTTCAGTTCTTGCACCAGCAATGTTCATCATCTACATAAACGATCTACCAGAAGGAACACAGAATTACTGAAGATGAACATGTTTGCAGATGATGCTAAGATACTGGGGAAGATACGAGATGCAGATGATTGTCATGCCCTTCAAATTGATCTAGATAAAATGTGTGTCTGGAGAGTCAAGTGGCAAATGGAATTAATTCAACGTGAATAAATGCCACATTATGAAATATGGAATCAGAGAAAATAGACCACACACAACTTACAAATTATGTGGAAAGGAATTAAAGAACTCTAATAGTTCTTAAGAGACCAACGGGTGGTTTTGGATAGTCAGCTGCCACAAGAGGAACACACAAAGAACACTGTGAGGAGCATATGCGTCACTTTCCAACTTCAGACTTGCTTTGAATTATATGAATGGTGAAATACTACAGAAACTGTTCATGACTTTTGAGACATCAAAATTGGAATATACAGCAGTTGTATGGTGGCCATATCCCAAGAAGCACTTAAACTGGAAAAGGTGAAAAGGCATGCAACAAAATGGCTTTTGGAACTGAAAACAAGAGTTTAAGAGGAGAGACTGGAAATGTTAAACATGCCAAAACTAGAAGATGGAGTGGAAAAAAAAAAAAAAAAGAGTTAACATAATCACCACTTACAAAATACTAACATGAATCAACCCAACTGACAAGGAGGAATGCCTGAAACCAAAACAACAACTTCACGCATAAGTGAACACAGATTCAGGGTAAGGAAACAAAGGTGACAATTTTTTTTTTAAGAACGTTTTCTTTTTGCAAACAGAGTGGTAGATAGTTGGAACAAGTAAAGCGAGAAGGTGGTCGAGGCCAAAACCGTCAGTAGTTTCCAAGCATTATACAACAGTGTACTGGACAGATGGGACACCACGAGCATAGCTCTCATCTTGTAACTGCACTTGTGCAATTACATTGTACTGTAATTACAATGTATACTAGTTCTGAACCCATATTTTGTAGCCTGTATTACCAGGTCCAGCCTAAATCCACTCAGTAAAACATCTAAATTACTGGGACCAACTAAAGAGCCTAAATCTGCACTCCTTTGAGCGCAGACGGGAGAGATACATAATAATTTACACGTGGAAAATAATTGAGGGGCTGGTCCCAAACCTGCACACAGAAATAACATCACATGAGACCAGAAGACATGGCAGGATGTGCAGAATACCCCCGTTGAAAAGCAGAGGTGCAACAGGTACTCTGAGAGAGAATTCTATCAACATCAGAGGCCCAAGACTGTTAGGTGCAACAGGTACTCTGAGAGAGAATTCTATCAACATCAGAGGCCCAAGACTGTTCAACACGCTTCCACTACACATAAGGGGCATAACTGGCAGACCCCTCACAGTGTTCAAGAGAGAACTGGATAAGCACCTCCAAAGGATACCTGATCAACCAGGCTGTGACTCATACGTCAGGCTGCGAGCAGCCACGTCCAACAGCCTGGTTGATCAGTCCAGCAACCAGGAGGACTGGTCGAAGACCGGGCCGCGGGGACGCTAAGCCCCGGAAGCACCTCAAGGTAAGGTACCCTACATACAGTGAACTGTGTGCATTTACCAGGTCCAGCCTCCACTACACACTGAACTACCTGCCAGCATGTACCAGGTCCAGCCTCCACTACACACTGAACTACCTGCCAGCATGTACCAGGTCCAGCCTCCACTACACACTGAACTACCTGCCAGCATGTACCGGGTCCAGCCTCCACTACACACTGAACTACCTGCCAGCATGTACCAGGTCCAGCCTCCACTACACACTGTACTACCTGCCAGCATGTACCGGGTCCAGCCTCCACTACACACTGAACTACCTGCCAGCATGTACCGGGTCCATCAACTTAATGGGGTGAGAATAGCTTGAGCACCTAATCCCTTTGTGTGTATTTATATCTCAATAAACTTACAGTACTTGAATTTGAGGTCTGGCCTCCACTACACAAAGTGAACAAAAGAAATGTTTTGTATTTTTCTACCATTCTGTACAATATTTTCAAATTATAAGTATCTAGAACATAAACCACTATTTATCTTACTGCATTTCTTAATAAAATATATATAAACTTTCATCATTTCATGTGTGTTGTTTTAAATTTAGTTAGTCAAAAAGAAAATATATTAAAAAATCTGCATAATTTGCTGATGTGGATCGTGTGTGGAACAATACTATGTGGATTTAAGAGGTCAGACTGTACATAAACCTTAAGTCACATATTCTATTATATACAACACATCTATACTCAACAATACTTTTAAAACACATATGGCCACTAAAGGTGCTAAAACATATAGTATAATAATTACTAATCACCAAGTAGCAATTAAAGCTCATTAAAAAGTACGTAGGTACTGTTTGTATGTTTGAACACCTTGCGTGATGGCACCTTCAACACAGGTAAGCAATTCAACACTCACCAACTGTTGTTGCTGTCTCTGCTGCTGGGGCTGAGCAGCAGCCGCTACAGCTGCTGCCACCGCCCCAGACAGACCTTCCGCAAAGCCTGCAGAATTATTTTCACTTTCCCAAGGGGTCATTCCACTCTGAAAAAAAGAACACCAAATTCAGTAAGGGCTCTCTACATATACAATTGGCATATAATTCTACTTCATAATGTTTCCTTATTTTTAGTGATAAAGACTCTCAGAATGCAGGAGATGAATGTTGTTCCAAATAGGCATTCATACCGGCCACTATACAGACCCAGCCATCGTACAGATGCAACGACTGTACAGACCCAGCCACTGTACAGACCCAGCCATCGTACAGATGCAACGACTGTACAGACCCAGCCACTGTACAGACCCAACGACCGTACAGACCCAGCCACCGTACAGATGCAACGACCGTACAGACCCAGCCACTGTACAGACCCAGCCATCGTACAGATGCAACGACTGTACAGACCCAGCCACTGTACAGACCCAGCCACCGTACAGATGCAACGACCGTACAGACCCAGCCACCGTACAGATGCAACGACTGTACAGACCCAGCCACTGTACAGACCCAGCCACCATACAGATGCAACGACCGTACAGACCCAGCCACTGTACAGACCCAGCCACTATACAGACCCAGCCATCGTACAGATGCAACGACCGTACAGACCCAGCCATCGTACAGATGCAACGACCGTACAGACCCACCCACGGTACAGACCCAGCCATCGTACAGATGCAACGACCGTACAGACCCACCCACGGTACAGACCCAGCCACATTACAAACCCAGTTACCGCACAAACCCAGCCACCGTACAGACCTAGCCACTGTATAGACCCAGCCACATTACAGACCCAGCCACCGTACTGACCCAGCCACTGTATAGACCCAGCCACATTACAGACCTAGCCACCGCACAGACCCAGCCACGGTACAGACCCAGCCACGGTACAGACCCAGCCACGGTACAGACCCAGCCACGGTACAGACCTAGCCACTGTACAGACCCAGCCACGGTACAGACCTAGCCACTGTACAGACCCAGCCACTGTACAGACCCAGCCACGGTACAGACCCAGCCACTGTACAGACCCAGCCACGGTACAGACCCAGCCACCGTACAGACCTAGCCACTGTATAAACCCTAGCCACGGTACAGACCCAGCCACGGTACAGACCCAGCCACATTACAGACCCAGCCACCGTACAGACCTAGCCACTGTATAGACCCAGCCACATTACAGACCCAGCCACTGCACAGACCCAGCCACTGTATAGACCCAGCTACATTACAGACCCAGCCACTGTATAGACCCAGCCACATTACAGACCCAGCCACTGTACAGACCTAGCCACTGTATAGACCCAGCCACGTTACAGACGCAGCCACTGTACAAACCTAGCCACCGTACAGACCCAGCCACGGTGCAGACCTAGCCACCGTTCACTGGTTCTTTCCTACATTTTCTTCTATATCGTTCACTCCAGTACGTTGTTATTTTACTGTGTAGATTTGGGGTACTTGGCCCTCCAGTATCTTCCAGGTGTATATTATTTGATATCTCTCTCGTCTTCTTTCTAGTGAGTACATTTGGAGGGCCTTGAGACGATCCCAATAATTTAGGTGCTTTATTGCATCTACGGCACGCATAGATGCAATAAAGCACCTAAATTATTGGGATCGTCTCAAGGCCCTCCAAATGTACTCAATAGAAAGAAGACGAGAGAGATATCAAATAATATACACCTGGAAGATACTGGAGGACCAAGTACCAAATCTACACAGTAAATAACAACGTACTGGAGTGAACGATATGGAAGAAAATGTAGAATAGAACCAGTGAAGAGCAGAGGTGCCATAAGCACAATCAGAGAACACTGTATAAACATCAGAGGTCTGCGGTTGTTCAACGTCCTCCCAGCAAGCATAAGAAATATTGCCGGAACAACCGTGGACCTTTTCAAGAGGAAACTAGATTTATTCCTCCAAGTAGTGCCGGACCAACCGGGCTGTGGTGGGTATGTGGGCCTGCGGGCCGCTCCAAGCAACAGCCTGTTGGACCAAACTCTCACAAGTCAAGCCTGGCCTCGGGCCGGGCTTGGGGAGTAGAAGAACTCCCAGAACCCCATCAACCAGGTACAGACCCAGCCACCGTACAGACCTAGCCACCGTACAGACCCAGCCACGGTACAGACGCAGCCACTGTACAGACCTAGCCACCATACAGACCTAGCCACTGTACAGACCCAGCCACTGTGCAGACCAAGCCACTGTACAAATGCAGTCACTGTACAGACCTAGCCACCATACAGACCTAGCCACTGTACAGACCCAGCCATGGTACAGATGCAGCCACTGTACAGACCCAGCCACTGTACAGACCCAGCCACATTACAGACCCAGCCACGGTACAGACCCAGCCACATTACAGACCCAGCCACTGTACAGACCTAGCCACATTACATACCCAGCCACGGTACATACCCAGCCACTGTACAGACCCAGCCACTGTACAGACCCAGCCACGGTACAGACCCAGCCACGGTACAGACCCAGCCACGGTACAGACCCAGCCACCGCACAGACCTAGCCACTGTATAGACCCAGCCACATTACAGACCCAGCCACCGTACAGACCTAGCCACTGTATAGAAACAGCCACCGTACAGACCCAGCCACATTACAGACCTAGCCACCGCACAGACCCAGCCACTGTACAGACCCAGCCACTGTACAGACCCAGCCACCATACAGACCTAGCCACTGTATAGACCCAGCCACATTACAGACCCAGCCACATTACAGACCTAGCCACCGTACAGACCTAGCCACTGTATAGACCCAGCCACATTACAGACCTAGCCACTGTATAGACCCAGCCACATTACAGACCCAGCCACTGTACAGACCCTGCCACCGTACAGACCCAGCCACTGTACAGACCCAGCCACTGTACAGACCCAGCCACATTACAGACCTAGCCACCGTACAGACCTAGCCACATTACAGACCCAGCCACCGTATAGACCCAGCCACCGTACAGACCCAGCCACCGCACAGACCCAGCCACGGTACAGACCTAGCCACTGTATAGACCAAGCCACGGTACAGACGCAGCCACTGTACAGACCTAGCCACTGTATAGACCCAGCCACGGTACAGACCTAGCTACTGTATAGACCCAGCCACTGTATAGACGCAGCCACCGTACAGACCTAGCCACCGTACAGACCTAGCCACTGTACAGATGCAGCCACAGTACAGACCTAGCCACTGTACAGACCCAGCCACTGTACAGACCCAGCCACTGTACAGACCCAGCCACTGTACAGACCCAGCCACTGTACAGACCTAGCCACTGTACAGACCTAGCCACTGTACAGACCCAGCCACTGTACAGACCCAGCCACCATACAGACCCAGCCACTGTACAGACCCAGCCACTGTACAGACCCAGCCACTGTACAGACCTAACCACTGTACAGACCCAGCCACTGTACAGACCTAGCCACTGTACAGACCCAGCCACTGTACAGACCCAGCCACTGTACAGACCCAGCCACTGTACAGACCCAGCCACTGTACAGATGCAGCCACAGTACAGACCTAGCCACTGTATAGACCCAGCCACGGTACAGACCCAGCCACAGTACAGACCCAGCCACTGTACAGACCCAGCCACTGAACAGACCCAGCCACTGTTCAGACCCAGCCACTGTACAGATGCAGCCACAGTACAGACCTAGCCACTGTACAGACCCAGCCACTGTACAGACCCAGCCACCGTACAGACGCAGCCACTGTACAGACCCAGCCACTGTACAGACCCAGCCACTGTACAGACCTAGCCACTGTACAGACCCAGCCATATTACAGACCTAGCCACTGTACAGACCCAGCCACTGTACAGACCTAGCCACTGTACAGACCCAGCCATATTACAGACGCAGCCACTGTACAGACCCAGCCACTGTACAGACCCAGCCACTGTACAGACCTAGCCACTGTACAGACCCAGCCACATTACAGACCCAGTCACCGCACAGACCCAGCCACTGTACAGACGCAGCCACTGTACAGACGCAGCCACTGTACAGACCCAGCCATATTACAGACGCAGCCACTGTACAGACCCAGCCACTGTACAGACCCAGCCACTGTACAGACCTAGCCACTGTACAGACCCAGCCACATTACAGACCCAGTCACCGCACAGACCCAGCCACTGTACAGACGCAGCCACTGTACAGACGCAGCCACTGTACAGACCCAGCCATATTACAGACGCAGCCACTGTACAGACCCAGCCACTGTACAGACCCAGCCACTGTACAGACGCAGCCACTGTACAGACGCAGCCACTGTACAGACCCAGCCACTGTACAGACCCAGCCACATTACAGACGCAGCCACTGTACAGACCTAGCCACTGTACAGACCCAGCCATATTACAGACCCAGCCACTGTACAGACCCAGCCACTGTACAGACCCAGCCACTGTACAGACCCAGCCACTGTACAGACCTAGCCACTGTACAGACCCAGCCACTGTACAGACCCAGCCACTGTACAGACCCAGCCACTGTACAGACCCAGCCACTGTACAGATGCAGCCACAGTACAGACCTAGCCACTGTACAGACCCAGCCACTGTACAGACGCAGCCACTGTACAGACCCAGTCACTGTACAGACCCAGCCACTGTACAGACCCAACCACATTACAGACCCAGCCACTGTACAGACGGCATGGGTTCAAATCCTGGCCGGGTCAAATAGACGTCTTGGTGTTCTATGGCTTGCACGTTCATGCAGCTTTCTCACATGTGTAAAACTCAGCGCGGCCCGAGCATGTGCCAGAATTTGATGAAAAACTGTATCAAAATGGATCCATGAGTCGTTGGGGGTTGATCAGTCGTGGAACTTAGTTAATAAGCACCAGGACTGACCAATCCTTATAGATAATCATTGGTGCGGTGGTCACGGTACTGTGTACGTTTAGAGGCGATTTTGGACGGCATGGGATTGAATCCTGGCCGAATCAAACATAGTCCTTAGTGATCTATGGCTTGCACATTCACGCAGCTTGCTCATATACG